GGAAGCTCTGTGAGCTATGGTCGCCATGCTGTATATTGGATCTCTAAGACATTTTCATCCTGCAAGGACACCTAGTGGACATGGGATGGGCTGGACTTCTCCTACCTGTGACCAATAGCATCAGGGAGTTGCTGTGCACAGCTGACCACTGTGAGGTGCGGCTGAAAGATCCAGAACATCTGTAGGTCCCTGCGTGTCCTGGGGTCACAGGGTTGATGGTGAAGTTGTTGGAACGGCCAGTGTGCAGCTCACGGTCCTGGGTCCCAGATGTTTTGTATATTTTGAATGTGACAAACGGAAGATGAGAATCACAGGAGAGAGTCACACGTCCTCCCTGGGGAACCACAGGGCTCGGCCGGGCTGACAGGGAGAGTTTGTACAGAGCACCTGGAAGAGGAGGAGGCGCAGCCTAGAGAGGGAAGTGTGGAGCCCCCCCCCCCACTGTCCTTGGGGGCTTTCCTTCTTCCCACTGTTCTGCTTTGCCCTGTAACATGAAGCCCCTGATGCCCTGGGTACCTGGTGGTGGGACAGGGACCCGGCCCACCCCAGAGTGGACATGGAAGGTCTTCCTGGAATAGTGTTCTACTGGGCATGATGATACAACATTGAGCCAGGTTCCTCCTAACTTCTGTCTACAACACACATCTGTGCATGGAAGAGAAGGAGGAAACTGACCAGATACAAGCAACACAGAACCATGTCAACTGGTTTAAACAATTCCCAACACAAGTGCCGGCACCGGGTCCCTGCCTCCCGACAGAGCGTGCCCAAACCCGCCCCAGACACCCGGATTCTGAACACCACAGGCTCCTTCAGGAGACTGGCTGAGCCGAGGGGCTGCCTACAGGGGGTTTCTAGAACAAGATGGAGCCTGGGGTCTCCCCAGGACCCCCCTTCCTGTGTTTCCGGGGCTCACGGCAAAGCCCTCCCCACGTCACCCGCATCGGCCTGGCTTCGTGTCCACCCTCCCTGCCTGGAGAACACTTTGTGCTTGGCCACCGCGGCGCCTGGGACTGGGACAGGACTCACCCACCCGTGTGCAGATCTTCTGGCCCAGGCACAGTCCTGGGGAAGAAACAAAACAACAAGCAATGGCGTCTGCACGTGATTCCTGCCCTCCTTGTAACGGTTTGTCAGCTCAGCCTGGATTCAGAGGGTGGATGAACCTGGCTTCCCGCGCCCAGTCCTGGGTTATACAGAGGCCAGTTCTTCAAGAGAGCATTTTCCATCCCAACCCTGCCCTCCTTTCCCTTCCAGGACTCACCCAGACACAGGACGGCGAAGAGTTTGGGGGCCATGGCGCCTCTTCTATTGGGCCGGACACAGGGGTTGAGCTAGACTGGAAAATGGACAGGATGTGGCAGCCATGGCTTTGCAGTTTGAAGTGCTTAGAGGTTGCCCCCCACACAGGAAGATGCCCGGCCTCACTCTAAACATAGGGGTGACGCAGACAGTATTCTTGGTTCAACAGAGCCCCCAGCGAAGGGCTGACCTGAACCCCAACACTGACCAACCCACTAATACCTAAATTTCAAATTTAACTTTTCTACGTGCAAAATTGTAGAACGGTATCTTAATATCTTATTGCCTTTTCTGAGAACTATGCATGATTCAATTTCTGTTACGCACATTTTCCTGCCAAATGAAAATAGATTTGTTGTCAGTGTTGTAAAATGATTGCACAAAAAACTGAACTGTTATGATCGAAGTTGCAACTGAATTGCTTGCAAACTGGGGACGATTTTCAAGTTCCTAACGTTTTCTTCCGTGCTTCAGTAAGTCAACAACAACAAAAATTGATTTTGTGTTATTAACACAGAACCAAGTGTGCAAATCCTGGCTCTTGGTGATTTCTCTGAAATACTTCCTTGACTGGTGGTTGAAGACACAGATCTCTATATTTCTCTTCCAGAAAACTCAACTCTTCCTCTTTATATATTTATATATATATTTACATACATATATAAACAATGAGTAACACAAACATATGTGCATATAATGCTGAAGGTTCTCCCCAACAGCCAGCTCATATCACTAAAAAATTAGTAAGATTAGAGCAAGAAAAAAAGCCCTGTGAAATCGCCGCTGAAAAAAAACGGAGCATTTTCACAGGAATAGGATCAACTCATGCTTTGTCTCTCACCTGTCCCAGAACTTCTCAAAGCACACGCACACAATTCTGAACGTTTTCTGTGTTGTTTTTGTAAATATGTGTCTTCCATAGCATAGCTACCATCCGGTAATATGTGTGTGTGTGTATGTGTGTGTGTGTTTGTGTAGTGTGTGTCTATGTGTATGTGTGTATGTGTATGTGTGTGTGTATGTGTGTGTGTTTGTGTAGTGTGTGTATGTGTGTGTTTGTGTAGTGTGTGTATGTGTATGTGTGTATGTGTGTGTATGTGTATGTATGTGTGTGTATGTGTGTGTGTTTGTGTAGTGTGTGTGTATGTGTGTGTGTTTGTGTAGTGTGTGTGTATGTGTATGTGTGTGTGTTTGTGTGGTGTGTGTTTGTGTAGTGTGCATATGTGTGTATGTGTGTGTATGTGTGTGTGTTTGTGTAGTGTGTGTATGTGTGTGTATGTATGTGTGTGTGTTTGTGTGGTGTGTTTGTGTAGTGTGCGTATGTGTGTGTACGTGTGTGTGTAGTGTGTGTATGTGTGTGTGTATGTGTATGTGTGTGTGTTTGTGTAGTGTGTGTGTATGTGTAGTGTATGTGTGTGTATGTGTGTCTGTGTGTATGTGTGTATGTGTGTTTGTGTAGTGTGTGTATGTGTGTGTGTTTGTGTAGTGTGTATGTGTGTGTATGTGTATGTGTGTGTATGTGTGTGTTTTAGTGTGTGTATGTGTGTGTGTGTGTGTATGCTTACGTTTTAAATACAGAACAAAGGACAGTGTGTTTTGTGTTTCTGACTGTAAAATGATACCGCTGTGCTCGTCACTCTGCACACCTCTTGTTTAAATTTCCCAACAGATAGAATGCACTTAATGGCTTGCACATTCCTCATGCCTTTGTCCTTTCTGGCTTACGGGACGTATGTTTTCACCAGCCATTTTGTTTTTTGGACAAAGGTTGCCCTGAACATTCTTGCCTGTGTGTCGTGGATTGTATGAGTGGGTTTCCCTGAGTTCACACCCCAGGGTGTTAACTGTGGGACATGGGGAACGTCAAGGTAAGAGTAAACTACATGAGAACACATTTTTTTTCCAGAGTGATGACCCCATAACTCCCGGCAATGGTCGTCAGATTCTGTTGTGTTTTCCACTTACAGAAAATACCTAATTACATATGACAGAGGATGAATTTGATGTTAACATTTAATTAAATATATTCTACAATAGAAAAATATATTAACTCAATGCTGTGATACACATATCTGCACCTGTAAACAAATGCATCACCCATGAGAAAGACGTTTTACCAGTGATGCCGAATATTGAACACTGCTCTATGAGTCATAAAATGTGTTATAGTTTATTGACTTGGAAGTGACATTTGTAAAGTTCAAGACTTCTGTAGAGGACAGTCACCCTCCAAGCAACACATGAGGCAAATACCCACTTGAAAATATAAAGCACGCGTTGGTTAAAAATGAGGAGAGCTTGTTGATCCGACATTGCTTGCATGCACCTGAAGGTGTTTGTGGGTTTCTTGCCAGGAAGGCAGCTCAGTCGTGCTTACACGCTGGAGCGAGGCCAACAACGTTGTGAAGTCAACGGTTTTAATCCAATGCGATTTTTATTTAATATAAATTAAAGATCTGAGAAGTAAGCGCACACCGGGATGTGACAAGACGCAGCGTAATGACACACAAAGTATATGTTTTGTGTTAATAACACAAAATCAACTTCTGTTGTTCTTAACTTATTGAAGCACAGAGGAAAACTTTAAGAACTTGAGGCCAGGCGTGGTGGCTCAAGCCTGTAATCCCAGCACTTTGGGAGGCCAAGGCGGGTGGATCACAAGGTCAAGAGATTGAGACCATCCTGGTCAACATGGTGAAACCCCGTCTCTACTAAAAATACAAAAAATTAGCTGGGCATTGTGGCGCGTGCCTGTAATCCCAGCTACTCAGGAGGCTGAGGCAGGAGAATTGCCTGAACCCAGGAGGCGGAGGTTGCGGTGAGCCGAGATCGCGCCATTGCACTCCAGCCTGGGTAACAAGAGCGAAACTCCGTCTCAAAAAAAAAAAAAAAAAGAAAGAACTTGAAAATCGTTCTCAATTTGCAAAAAGTTGAACATAACAGAATAAACATTTCCATTTTATGGTTTAACCATTTTACAACACTGACAATGCATCTGTTTTCATTTGGCAGGAGAACATTCTGTAACAGAAATCAAATCATGCATAGTTCTCAGAAAAGGAAATAAGATATTAAGATACCACTCTACAATTTTGCATGTAGAAAAGTTAACTTTGAAATTGAGACTCACGCCTGTAATCCCAGAACTTTGGGAGGCTGAGGCAGGCACATCAGGAAGTCAAGAGATCGAGACCATCCTGGCAAACATGATGAACCCCTGTCTCTACTAAAAAAAAAAAAAAAAAAAAAAAAGTTAGCCAGATGTGGTGGCACACACCCGTAGTCCCAGCTACTCGGGAGGCCGAGGCAGAGGAATCACTTGAACCCGGGAAGCAGAGGTTGCAGTGAGCTGAGATCGTGCCACTGCCCTCCAGCCTGTCGGCAGAGCAAGATTCCGTCTCAAAAAAAAAAGACATTATGGATTATTTAGTGCAGGGATTCAAGTCAGGGCTTTGCTGGGGGCTCTGTTGAACCAAGAATACTGTCTGCGTCACCCCTATGTTTAGAGTGAGGCCGGGCATCTTCCTGTGTGTGGGGCAACCTCTAAGCATGCTGGGGGCTCTGTTGAACCAAGAATACTGTCTGCGTCACCCCTATGTTTAGAGTGAGGCCGGGCATCTTCCTGTGTGGGGGGCAACCTCTAAGCACTTCAAACTGCAAAGCCATGGCTGCCACATCCTGTCCATTTTCCAGTCTAGCTCAACCCCTGTGTCCGGCCCAATAGAAGAGGCGCCATGGCCCCCAAACTCTTCGCCGTCCTGTGTCTGGGTGAGTCCTGGAAGGGAAAGGAGGGCAGGGTTGGGATGGAAAATGCTCTCTTGAAGAACTGGCCTCTGTATAACCCAGGACTGGGCGCGGGAAGCCAGGTTCATCCACCCTCTGAATCCAGGCTGAGCTGACAAACCGTTACAAGGAGGGCAGGAATCACGTGCAGACGCCATTGCTTGTTGTTTTGTTTCTTCCCCAGGACTGTGCCTGGGCCAGAAGATCTACACACGGGTGGGTGAGTCCTGTCCCAGTCCCAGGCGCCGCGGTGGCCAAGCACAAAGTGTTCTCCAGGCAGGGAGGGTGGACACGAAGCCAGGCCGACGCGGATGACGTGGGGAGGGCTTTGCCGTGAGCCCCGGAAACACAGGAAGGGGGGTCCTGGGGAGACCCCAGGCTCCATCTTGTTCTAGAAACCCCCTGTAGGCAGCCCCTCGGCTCAGCCAGTCTCCTGAAGGAGCCTGTGGTGTTCAGAATCCGGGTGTCTGGGGCGGGTTTGGGCACCCTCTGTCGGGAGGCAGGGACCCGGTGCCCGGCACTTGTGTTGGGAATTGTTTAAACCAGTTGACATGGTTCTGTGTTGCTTGTATCTGGTCAGTTTCCTCCTTCTCTTCCATGCACAGATGTGTGTTGTAGACAAAAGTTAGGAGGAACCTGGCTCAATGTTGTATCATCATGCCCAGTAGAACACTATTCCAGGAAGACCTTCCATGTCCACTCTGGGGTGGGCCGGGTCCCTGTCCCACCACCAGGTACCCAGGGCATCAGGGGCTTCATGTTACAGGGCAAAGCAGAACAGTGGGAAGAAGGAAAGCCCCCAAGGACAGTGGCGGGTGGGGGGCTCCACACTCCCCTCTCTAGGCTGCGCCTCCTCCTCTTCCAGGTGCTCTGTACAAACTCTCCCTGTCAGCCCGGCCGAGCCCTGTGGTTCCCCAGGGAGGACGTGTGACTCTCTCCTGTGATTCTCATCTTCGGTTTGTCACATTCAAAATATACAAAACATCTGGGACCCAGGACCGTGAGCTGCACACTGGCCGTTCCAATGACTTCACCATCAACCCTGTGACCCCAGGACATGCAGGGACCTACAGATGTTCTGGATCTTTCAGCCGCACCTCACAGTGGTCAGCTGTGCACAGCAACTCCCTGATGCTATTGGTCACAGGTAGGAGAAGTCCAGCCCATCCCATGTCCACTAGGTGTCCTTGCAGGATGAAAATGTTCTAGAGATCCAATATACAGCATGGCGACCATAGCTCACAGAGCTTCCAGTGGGAGAGGCTATTTTGTGTGTAGATTTTGCCTTCCTCCAGGATGGCAAAACTGCAGCAGAAACTGTCCAATGGGCAGAAGAGACTGGAGGTTTGGTGGGTTGTGTTGACCTCCCTCCACCGATTAAAGATGAGAGATGAGCAGGACTCAAGCTGCTGCCTCCTCCATGTTAGTACTGAGGAAGGAGCTCATTCCTGTTAACGATGAGGGTTCATCAGAATTTAAACTGTTGTGGCTACTGTGATGAAAAAGTGAAGCTTTCCTGGTATGTGCCCTATTTTTAAAAAGTAATTGCTTTTGAATTAAGTTATAGCATTACTAATTCACGTTAATGACTAGGAAACCCTCTATAGTTTATTAGATTTTTCAAATTGGCAGGGAGTGAATAAATACAATTTAAAAGAGTCAGATATCAGTTTGGCAAAGAGTACTTTCTTAATTTCAATTTATGATGAAGTATAGTTACAATTTATTTGTAATACTATATGATATAGCAGTGAAAGAATTATAGTATAAAGAAGAGGTATTAATGTCTTATGAAATCTCATGCATCAGTTCATAGTATTTATCTAGCTGAACAACTAAGAAGCTGTGGTAGCAAACACGGACATTGATGGAACAAGAATCATGAACTTTCATATTACCAGAAAGGATTTTTTAATTAGTTTTTTTTCACACATCAGAGAAAACTGACTGTATAAATAGTTACCATTTACCTCTTTATGTAGTTTTGCTCTTCATCCTTTCCCCAATTTTTATATAATCAATATTTTATTACAACATTGTAAAATGTGAAAAAAAAAAAAACGGGCTTTGGCGGTGACGAGGGAGAGCTTCACCCTGAGGTCCCAGGTGAGGGGTGAGGAAGGAGACCCCTGTGAATTCCTCTGTCTTTGCTCCCAGGTGCATTCACAAAACCTTCCATCTCAGCCCACCCAAGCTCCCTGGTGGCTGCGGGAGTTAGGGTGACCGTGAGCTGTCACTCGGAGCTGGCATTTGATGAGTTTATCTTATACAAAGATGGGCACACACAGCATTCCCAGGAACTTGACACGAGGTTGGAGGCTGGGACTTACTACGTCAAGGCTGTCTTTTGCCTGGGTCCTGTCACGCCGGCCCAGGCAGGAGCCTACAGATGCTGTGGTTCTTTCAGTCACTCCCGCTATGAGTGCTCGGCTCCCAGCGACCCCCTGGAGATTGTGATCACAGGTGAGTGTGGCTGGACCATCCTGCTCCGCTGGTGCCCTGGGAGCTTCATGGGATGATGTGGTTGTTAATCAAACCTCAGGAGAGGAAGAAAACTAAAGGAACAGAGGGACTGTGAGGAGGAGCTCAGCAAGGGGGTTCAACATGTCTGAGTGCTTCAGGAGGGAGGAGCGGTCACTTTCACCCTCCCCAGCAAGTTGTCACATCTAACTCCTTGGGTTTGGGGCAAAGCCAGGTCTTCCCTGCAGTGGGAATCAGTGAAGTTCCTTCTGCTTCTCCAGAGATTCTTGTATTTTTCAACAGACAGAGTTGAGAAATAGTGAGAACCCTGTAGTTCCATGTCAGGGAACCCAAGGCCAGCACTCTGTTTTCTGAAATCTCTCAAAGCACAGAGTAACTCCCATTTTCCAGGAGAACCCCACAGCTCATATGGCTTCACGGGGCAGTAACCCACAGAGACACAGTCAAAAGCAGCGGGGAATCTATGAAATGCAGAGGAAGTAAAAAGACACAGACACAGGCCGGGTCAGGACCCTAGAGAGGAAGATGAGATTGACAGAGGCACCAGCCCACATTCGGAATCTGCCCCCAAGATAAGAGCAGAGAGAGAGACGCCTTTGTTCATGCACTCAGGAGCGTGTTCTAAAATCAGCCTCTTTTCCTCCCAGGAAAACACAAAAAGCCTTCTCTCTCCACCCAGGAGGACCCCAGGATGGGGAGTGGAGAGAACGTGACGTTATTCTGCATCTCTGAAATCTCATTTGACCGGTACCATCTGTGGAGAGAGGGGGCTCCTTATGGCCAGTGGCTCAGTGGAGGTCAGGGACACAGGGGAGCATTCCAGGCCAACTTTTCTGTGGGCCTCGCAACGCCAGCCCATGGAGGGACCTATAGATGCTACGGTTCTTTCAATGCCTCCCCCTATGAGTGGTCGGCCCCCAGTGAGCCCCTGCACCTTTCTGTCACAGGTGAGGAGCCCACACCTGCCACCTGTCCTGTTGTCCACTAAGTCCCAGAGCCATACCAGAGGGGCATCCCACTGGGCACACAGGGGCATTAGGTATTCTGGACAAAATGAAGCAGTGAAAAATACAGACAGGGATGAACAGGCTGAGTGGGATGGGGCTGTCAGGGTGCAGGGCATAGACAGGGCAGCTCTGCGCCCTCCGCCCCTCCTACATGAAGAAAGAGGTCAGGGCAAACACAGGTGGAGGTGAGGCCAGATGGAGTTTGTTGAGATCAGAGGTTGCCTCAGCCCCTCGCCCTTTTCCATTTTCTCCGAAGCCCCTCCTGACCCCTCACCACAGAGAGATTTCCCTGTTGGGAAACGTGGATATTTATCATCCCAATGGGAGAAACGTCTGCTGACATCACCATGCATCTCCTAGTCACCTTCCCATCTCAGGGAAAGAATCACCCCCTAGAGATTCCAAGGAAGGGACCCCAGGACCCCCATGAGTCTTTAGGTAGATGACAGCGTAGAAGGTAGACAGGGACGAACCCTCCAAAGAAAACGGTTCTACTGCTCGGGAGGTTGAGGCAGGAGAATCGCTTGAACCCAGGAGATGGAGGTTGCAGTGAGATGAGGTTGCACCACTGCACTCCAGCCTTGGCGAGAGAGTGAGACTCCATCTCAAAAAATTAAAATAAAGAAAAGAAAATGGTCCTACTTTAATGGGGCGATCAATCACTGTTGCTCACCCCTCCTCTGCCTTGTTTCCCCCTAGGAGACCCTAAGAGTACTCCTCTGTTGATCATGGAATCCACCCCTAAATCTGGTAAGCAAATAATTCTTATCCTAGTGTCTGAGTCCCTGTGGAGACGGAAGGCTCCTGTGTGAGTGAAGGCTGTGCCACCTCCCAGCTGTGTGACTTTGGGCTAGGAAGCCCCTCCCAGGTCCCCAGATTCCTCATCTGCATCTGAAACTGTGGTCCGTGCAGGGGTCTGTAAGGCCTTTCAGCCTCTGCTGCTTTGGGACTGAGGCCTTGTCCACAGGGAGGAAGAGGTCAGAGTGACCTGAACCTTGCTGAGAAGCAATGCTTATCATTCCTCCACGGAGGTCTGTGGTCATGAACATGCTAGGAGATGTGAAGGATTTAGAGGACCATGTGAAATATTTACTGTCTATCTTGTTGTTTTTTGGTTTTTGTTTGAGACAGAGTGTTGCTCTGTTACCCAGGCTGGAGTGCAGTAGCGCAATCCCGGCTCACTGCAACCTCCGTCTCTGGGGTTCAAGTGATTCTCCTGCCTGAACCTTGAGAGTAGATGGGGTTACAGGTGCCCGCCATCACACCGGGCTAATTTTTGTATTTTTAGTGGAGATGGGGTTTCACCACATTGGCCAGGCTGGTCTCGAACTCCTGACCTCAGGTGATCCACCCACCTTGGCCTCCTAAAGTGCTGGGATTATTGGCGTGAGCCACCGCACCTGGCTGAAGACAAACGTTTTAGTCAGAAACATGTCATGGTCCACATTCTATTTTAGAGATAGCAGTTGATCGATGTAAACAGTGTTTATTGCAGGCAAGCAGGAGTGGAAGCCATGAGCCTGGTGGGGTGTGACATCCCGGTGGAGGACACTCATGGCGGCTTAGACAGGCCCAGGCTGGATAAGGAGCTGAGCAGGTGGATTCAGGGTAGGCTCAGAGCTGGACCCACTAAGAGGAAGAGTTCAGAACCTCGTTCTAGTGTTCCTCAGTGCATGACTCATTTCTCTCTGGGCCTCTGTTTCTGCTGATGGAAACTCATACGTGGGGTATCAGAGAAGGGGCAGCAGGGAGCCTTCTGGGGGAACGTGACATAGTCCTTGAAAGAGTATAATCAGACACTTGGGCTCAATGGATGGTTCTGCTAGTTATGGTCACTCATCTTGGGAAACGTCTGTTTTCTGTCTTTTCTTCCTTCCCTCCCCTCCCCTCCCTTTCCCTTCCTTTCCTTCTTTTTGAGACAGAGTCTCTCCCTGTGCAGTGGGATGAAATTGGCTCACTGCAGTGTCCACCTCCCGGGTTCAAGTGATTCTCCTGCCTCAGCTTCCCGAGTAGCTGGAACTACAGGCGCCCACCACCACACCCAGCTAATTTTTGTATTTTTAGTAGAGATGAGTTTCACATATTGGTCAGGCTGGTCTTGAACTCCTGAACTCCGGTGATCCACCCACCTCGGCCTCCCAGAGTGCTGGGATTACAGGCGTGAGCCACTAATTTGAGCATCTGGCCAAAGCATCCAAGTACTTGGATAGAATATTGGGCTAACGATGCCTCTTTCCTTATGAAAAAAAAAAAAGAAAAAGGTGGGGAAGAGAAGAAAGTCAAGTTTCCCAAGATGAATGACTAGAAGTAGCAGACACGTCCACTGAGCCCAAGACTGTGACTGACTGCAGTCTTTTTTCTTTCAAGGACTGTATCATGGCTGAGAGGAGGAGGAGGAGAAGCGTCCACACATGTGGGAGTCCTCCAACCCCCCCGCCCCCGGCATGGGTCCTGGTAGAGGGGATGTGCTCCTATGTGACATATCCTGTGTCCACTCCCCTTTTCCTCTCCAGAACTCTCCACCCACCTACTCTCACTCATTACTCAGAAAAGCACCGACATTCTCTGGAGCAAGTTCAGTTCTCAGAAACCGGCATGAGAGGCATCCTCTGGCCACCTCTCTCTCCATTCTCAGAAAGCGCATTTGTGCTGGGCTGAGGAGGGACAGGGGAAACGGTGCTCGGCCAGGGTGAATGCAGAGGGTTTCCTTTGTCATGCAGAAACAAACTGTCTTTTCTCATGAGGAAGAGGCAGGGGAGTCACACTGGAGGCTGACAGGCCTGGGTTCAGATCTTCAAGTTTTTCCTTTTTCTTTTTTTGAGATGCAGTCTTGCATTGTCACCCAGGCTGGAGTGCAGTGGCATGATCTCTGCTCACTGCAACCTCCACCTCCCAGGTTCAAGCGATTCTCCCGTCTCAGTCTCCCAAATAGCTGGAATTACAGGCATGTACCATCATGCCTGCCTAATTTTTATATTTTTAGTAGAGACAGGGTTTTACCACGTTGACCATGCGGGTCTCGAACTCCTGACCTCAGGTGATCCATCTGCCTCGGACTTCCAAAGTGCTGGGATTACAGGTGGGAGCCACTGCGCCCAGCCTTCACATCTCTCTTACAGGGCCTTTGATTTGGACACGAGTCTTCACTTTTCTTGGAATTTTTTGTACATGATGGAAAATGGAGACAGTCACTGTTCAGGTGTAGGGATCTTGGAAGAATTTCAGATAAAGCATGTCGTGCGTTCAGTATGTGTTGGCACAAAATAGGCAAGCAGTGAACGAGAGGGTTGATCATTTGCTTCTTGACAGACACGCTCCTTCCTCAAGGACAGTCCAGCAACCTGGGTATCCTCATTGGGCTCTCAGTAGCGGTCATCTCCATCGGCATTTGCCTCTCTGCTTTCACTGGTTACTGGTGTTCCGTAAAACATCGTAAGTCTCAGGGAAGAGAGGAGGGCATCATGTGAGCCTCGTGGGGATGTGACCGAGGCACAGAGCGGGCTGTCCACATCCTGTGGGTTGCTCTGTGTTTCCACTGAGGTTCTTGAGGGAGGAACCCTGCCCCTTTCCTTGACTAACTGATCACCCCTCCCCCTCCCCTGCTCCACCTCGTCTCTGGGTAGGCCACTGACCTGCAGGAGAACGTCCATGAGAGAGGCAGAAGGATGGGGGCAGTTGATTTGAGGGGTCCTGGGGCAGTCACGATGGCCCTGGGGTTGCTGAGGGGTGGTTCTGATTGAGTGGGGGAGGCTGGATCACACTGCAGCCTCAGGCACACCCTCGCCTTGTTTTGGTCTTGATATCGCCACATCTGACATGAAGATCTGGAAGGCTTTCTTTTTCACCCCACAGACACCCCCATGGCCAACACAGAGCCCATGGAAGGCCAACAGACGGATGAAGAGGTGAGTTCTCCCAGCCCAAACCATCGCCACAGCTCCATCCTCTCAGACGTCCAGTGACCCTGCCTTTAGTTACTAAATATGCCCCTCTTTTCACCTTCATTCCCCCAGGACCCTGCAGGAGAAGCAGCACAGGAGATGGTGTATTCCCAGTTAAACCAGCACACCCTCTCTCAGAGAGGAGTCACTCCCACCCTCCCGTGTACCGAGTACCTCTCGGAGGAGCCCAGTATCTACACCGCCGTCCACCAAGCCTAGGCGGGGGCCAGAGCTGCCCTCAGTCTTTGAGCACAAGGGGCATTCATGACCAAGGACCTGGATCTATTCCCAGGAGGATTTTTTTTTTTTTGAGATGGGGTTTCGCTCTTGTTACCCAGGCTGGAGTGCAATGGCGTGATCTCGGCTCACTGCAACCTCCACCTCCTGGGTTCAGGCAATTCTCCTGCCTCAGCCTCCTGAGTAGCTGGGATTACAGGCACGCGCCACCACGCCCAGCTAATTTTTTGTATTTTTAGTAGAGATGGGGTTTCACCTCATTGACCAGGATGGTCTTGATCTCTCGACCTCGTGGTCCACCCGCCTCGGCCTCCCAAAGTGCTGGGATTACAGGCTTGAGCCACCATGCCCAGCCCCTAGGAGGATTTTTTCCGTGGACATTCCTCCTCCTTCTGGTCCTATCTTGATACCTCCAAGCTGGCAACAGCACAGTCTGAATGCCTGTGGGATGATCTCAGAATTCCAGCACTGCTTCGCAGACAGCTAGCCATTCTGTGATTCTATTTTGAGCATCCAGCCATTTAAGGTGATTTGACTCTACCCACCCTCTCATTCTGGACATCTCCCTAATGTCACCTGACTTATTCTGAAACTCCGCAGACATGCTTCTAGAAAGCTGATGCATACCCTCAGCCAGTTTAGTCTCTAAATTACTCAGTAAGTTTATTTTAAAAATTTTTTGGACGTATTTACTGCTTTTATTGCAATGTGATTTTTTTGGATTATGTTATCACAGTCTTTTTTTTATTGTACTGTAAGTTCTGGGGTACATGTGCATATTTTTGCAGGATTGTTGCATAGGTACACACTTGCCATCGTGGTTTGCTGCCTCCATCCCCCCATCACCCCCATCAGGCATTAGTTCCGGGGCACGTGTGCAGGATATGCAGGTTTGTTACACAGGCAAACGTGTGCCGTGGTGGTTCACTGCATCTATCAATCCGTCCCCTAGGTATTAAGCCCAGCATGCATTTGTTCTTTTCTCTAATGCTCTCTGCACCCCCTGCCCTCCTCTGACAGGCCCTAGTGAGTGTCGTTCCCCTCCCTGTGTCCATGTGGTCTCACTGGTCAGCTCCCGCGTCTAAGTGAAAACATGCAGTGTCTGGTTTTTTTGTTCCTGCGCTGGTTTCCGTGTCTCTGCAGATGACATGATTTCATCCTTTTCATGACTGCGTAGTATTCAGTGCAGTGCGTGTAGCACATGACTTTATCCAGTCTATCATCGATGGGCATTTGGGTTGATTCCATGTCTTTGCTATTACTCAATACAATTTTGCCGATTTGAAGTGTGTTCTATATCTGAGTCACCTAATATGGTAGCCGCTTGTCAAATATGGCTTTTTCACTTAGAATAGATCAAATTACATGAAGTTTAAAATTCAATTCCTCAGCCACAGGGCCACAATTTCAGCTCTCAGAGCCACGCATGGCTGCTGGCTGTCAGAAGAGCATGAATAAGAATGTTTTCTTTGTCAGAGGAAGTTCTGGCTGTTGCAGATGAAAGGTCCAAACTTGAAGAGGCAGAGTGTATTTTCTCATGGAGTGCAGCCTCCTGGAAGAGCCCTAGTGTCAGGAAATGATAATATTTAACATCTATTGTGAGATCGTCTTTATCTAATGAAATGCGGGGAACAAGCAGAATTCTCCCCTGGAGTGTCTTGTCATCTCTTATCTTCGTGCAAATTTCTGCCATAGAGATTTTCTCCCAAACTCTGAGAAGGTCACCTCCTGTTTGTCCCTTTTCTCGTCCCCTGGTTTCACATGGAGAGAAAGCACGCATCCTTTCTCAGCACAGAATATTGTCTGGAAGCTGCTTTCTGATGACCTCTATATCTGAGCCTTTATTCTGCTCCTTTCTACCTGAATTGGCACCTGCCCAGAGCAATTCACAAACTGCTGCCCACGACCAGCTGTAGGTAGCCAACCGGTGCATGTGCTCCTTCACCGGGGAATCCTCACCATTTCGTGAGCGTCTCAATGCAGACATCCACCTCCATACACACGTCTTCATCTCACAGGCTGAGCAAAGAGGCTGATCAGCCCACAGTGTCTGTGCCCAGTAGGGTGAGTGTTTATTGCCCGATCCCCACTGGTCTTTTATGCATGGACTGTGAACTTTTGGAGGCAGGACTGAGTTTGATTAACCTCTGGGACTCAAGCCACCTTCCAAGGATCCTGCCCATAGGAAGTATCAGCAACTCCAGTCTGGTGAGTGATGAGGACACCCAACCCTTCCAGAGAGAAGAGCATGGAGCAAACATCAGAGATCCTCTAATGTTACCCAGAAACAGTTTCTCTGTCTCCCTGGGTCAAAGGGGGATTGTGCTTCCTCCACTGTCTGGGATATGTGGACTAAGGGACAAATGCTGGTTAGCGGGTGTGAGGGGGAATGGCAGGCACACTCCCAGCCTGGCTATCTTCTGCACATATTGACCCATCCCGTAAGTTCCTCCCCCCCACTCCCCACCCCCACAACAGGCGTTGTGTGGGGTCCCTGTGTTTACGTGTTCTCGTTGTTCAACTTCCGTTTATGAGTGAGAACATGAGGTGTTTGCTTTCTGTTCCTGTGTTACTTTGCTGAGAACGATGGCTTCCAGCTTCAGTTTTAACATGTTTTTAAGGCTTGGTCGCCTGCAAGACCCATGAGTAGATATGGGGTCTCACCCTGTTGGCCAGGCTGGTCTCGGACTCCTGGCCTCAGGTGACACACCTGCCTGGCATCCCAGGCTGGTCTCAACTGTGGGGCAACTGGGGTTGTCGAACCAGGTTAACTGCAGATGCTTCCTGCAGACCCTGCACACCTGACATCTTCATACCTGCGTGTCCATTCAGGGATGATGTGGTGGGTGCTCGTCCTCCAGTCGAGGGCACTGACAAGCTTGGGGCAGCAGCACCAGTCAGCTTCTATCCTGTCACGTGAGAAGCCACACTTGGAGATCCGAGTGTACCGGGGCCTCTGTTGTTTCCCAGGACAACCTCAGCACCCTTCCCGAGCAGCCCCTCGGACATTCATCCTGCAGTCCAGGCTCTCGTTCTGTCTCTGGGTCGTGGGCGTGGGATAGGGCACAGGCTGCCTTTGAATCACTTCACAGGACAGACGAGTCTCCTGTTCTGTTTCCGGCCACCACGCTGCTCTGTGATCTAGGGATTCTCTGTCAGCATCTCTTCCAGTGGGTCCAGTCTGGAGCGTAAGGGATTCAGAGCACACAGAGGTGACCACGGGCCTGGTGCATCCAAGCACTTCCCTGCCAGGGGGACGCGCAGAGCGTTTCCCACGCTGAGGAGCAGCCATTCAAGACCACTGGGTCGCAGCTGGAGGCCTGTGATGCAGCCGGGCATCTGTTTCCAACATCCACCAACTCAGTAAAGACAAGTCAGGACAGTTACCTTTATTTTATATTGAACGTTTGAGGCTTACTAGCTTGCATTTTTTTTTTAAAAGAAAATGAGTTGATATTTTTAACTTTTAAAAATATCACGATGATTTTTTCCATTTTTTCTTCCCCCACTCTCTGATGTGGAATATTTGCACATCCAAACCATAATTTCCTGTGCGAGCATGACAAAGCTCCTAATTTGAGTCTGCTGAGATACCTGAGCTTGGTCCCGTGCCCAGCACGCACTGTGAGATCATCCCAGGCTACGGAATGTGCCTCCTCACAACTGTGAGCGACGCAAGCATCAGGGACGTGTGACCAAATCTAGGAGTTTAGGGATTTTCAGTGATCAGAGGCAGATCTGGGAGCATTCTGTAATGACAGTGTGTTCTCAAATACCTGGCCTACAGTGAGTTATATTTTTAGAAATTACAGTGTTCATTACACACACGCAGCTGTTCCTTCTCTGCACTCACAGGAAACCCACAGAGAACCCTCCGCAAACACCTCTGTATCTGCATTAAAGTGTAAAACCACCTAAAAGGCCATCTTGCTGTTTACTAATCGTGCATACAGTTGAACTTGTGTGTGTGTCTTCTAGATACAGCCAGGTTCAATGGCATTTGCTAAATACACGCCACTAATTAACAACCGTCGTCTTGGGGGTTCTCCGGGTCATTTGAACATGGAGACCTACCTCTTCATCTCTCCTAAGAATTACCTTTTAACAGGTTTTTAACATCATCAGCAGAAATATTTTTAACAAACGGCCTCAAAAGCGTCTTAGAATCTGAAGACCTAAAAGAGATATAATACGTTCTTTCAGAGCTGTTGGAGAGATCCTCACCAAACCTACTTTATACCATGAAGGGTCTCAAAAATAGCTCATTTTCCCATGAGCCAGGAGAGACAAGGGGATGGGAAGTCCCGAGGAGACCCCGAGGTGCGTGTGAGGAGCCACCTTCTCCAGTTTCAGTCCTCGTTCCCTCCAGGCGTGTCTAGGAAGCCGTCCCTCCCAACCCCACAGGGCCGTGTCATGGGCTGTGGAGAGAGCCTGACCCTCCAGTGTGGCTCTGAGGTTGGCTACAACAGATTCGCTGTGTACTAGGAGGGGATGTGACTTCCTCCAGCACCCTGGCCTGCAGCCTCAGGCTGGGTTCTCCCAGGCTGACTTCCCTCTGAGCCCTGTGAGCGTCTCCCATGGGGGCCAGTACAGATGCTGGGTCCGAGTGGTCAGGCACAGTGACCCCGTGGACATCCTGACCGCAGGCTGGAGCCCAGTGGGTTCAGACAAGTTTCCAAGTTCTGTTCAGAGCTGTGTGTGCATTTGTGGGGGTGTTTCTATGTGTGCTTTTCATGTGTGTTTGTATGCGTTTGGGTGAGTATACTACGCATGTTTGTATTTTTGTATTTGTGTATATTTGTGTTTTTGTTTGTCTGCACGTGTTTGAATTTATGTGTGTGTTTGTTTCTCTCTCATTTGATTGCATGTGTGTGTGTGTGTGGGGAGAGGTATGTGTGTGTAGGTGTGTGTGAGTGTGTGTTTATCTCTGTGTGGGTTTATTTGCATCCGTGTGTGTGAGAGTATGTGTGTGTGTGAGTGATTGTAAATGTGTGTTATGTGTGCATATGTTTGAGTGTGTGAGATTGAGCGTGTGAGATTGTATGTGTGTGAGTTTGAGTGTTTATCTGTGTGGGTTTATATGCACATGTGTGAGTGTGTGTACATGAATGTATACGATTGTGTATGTGCATATTGTGTATGCGTGCATGTATATGTGTGTATGAGATTTGTGTATGAGTGTGTATGTTATGTGTGTCAGTGTGTGTATGACTGCATGTTTTGTGTGTGTGTCAGAGATTGTGTATGACTGCATGTTGTGTGTGTACATGTGTGTGTGTGCGTATAGATGGCACAGCACAGATGGTCAGGAGAGGTGCCTGGTTCTTCCACCATGTCACTGTGTTGGGGAAATGCTGGGTCGAGGGCTCCCTGACAGCCAGGAGCAGCATCTGAGATTCTGTAAAACCCTGCCCACCCCCTCTCTGCCTAGGGCCAGGCAGCCTGAGCTGTGGCAGTACCAAGACCCTTGGATACACCCCCAGACTGCCTGAAAAAATGATGTCCACTGGTGAGACAAGACCGGGAAGGCCAATTCCACCTCACCCTGGGTCCTAGTGACGTAGCGCCCCGCAGCTGTGGTCCTGTGGAGGATGGGACGGCCCTACATAAGAGCAAGGACCCTCTGCTCTCCCCTCACCACACACCTGGCCCCTGTCCCTCAGAGGCAGAATGCAGGTGGGAGGTATCTCTCAGTAGAGCCTGAGCTGGGGATGTGGACACAGCGGAGTCGGGAACATCATCACACTGACAACCGGAATGAGGGACCGAGGCAAAAGTCTCAATCCACGGAGGCTAATAATCACTAAGCCAGCTTTAAGGCACAGCCGGGAAAAGCACAAGCCACAGACACATTTGTGTCTGCTTCTTCCGAAGAGGTTTTCCGAAGATTCACTCTTTACTAATTTCCTTAAAGAGACAGGCATGGAGGCCGAGGGCCAGGTAGATGGTGGGATGAATGGTTCCAGATAGTTCCCAGTAAATCTACCTTTTACCAAAGATAGGGTGCATGTTTGGAGGGAAAAGGGGCGCAAAGGAAGAATCAGTTATGCAGATGTCTCTGGGTGGGTGGAGGAATGACTGATCTCGTCTGAGGAATCACCGATCTCATCTCGGCTTTGTTCTGCACCTGGGAAGGTAAGCTTGTCATTGATATTATCAGTGTGGAATAAAACAAGCCTGAGTTTTAGGAGCTAGCTTTTGGATTGTACTCCTGGAGGCCAGCAAGGACATTCCTTATGAATGACATGTGGGGGCCTCTGTAGATGCCTGGGGCCTCTCCCTTCCCGTGGGGGATCTGACTGATGACGACTGCTGTCCCATTGGAAGAGGGTGCTGCTGACTCAGCCTCCAGGCTGAACCTCCCATGTCACTTTAGGAATTTGGAAGTCCTGAGATTTTGTTCTGTTTTTCATTTACAAAATGTTTGGCCAGGTGTGGTGGCTCACGCCTGTAATCCCAGCACTTTGGGAGGCCAAGGCAGGTGGGTCACCTGAGGTCAGGAGTTCAAGACCAGCCTGGCCTACATAGCGAAACCTCATCTCTACTAAAAAAGAAAAACAGAAATTAGCTGGACACGGTGGCACATGCCTGTAATCCCAGGTACTCTGGAGGCTGAGGCAGGAGAATCGCTTGAACCTGGGAGGTGGAGGTTCGGTGAGCAGAGATTGTGCCACTGCACTGCAGCCTGGGTGACAGAGTGAGACTCTGTCTCAAAACAAAATAAAACAAAAACAGAAAACCCAAACATGATAAGCGCTCATTATCCTGAATCTTCTAAGCGCATCCTCACAGCACACCTTAGAGGTGGGGAGCAACCCAGCTTTTAAAGTTGAGATCATCGAGCCTCCGCCCACTGAGGTTGGACTCCCAGACTCAGCGTTTTGTGAAGAGTGTGGTTACAATTCCAGTGTGGCCATGCACCTGGCTGCAAAGACTGCATGGCCGCAGCTGCCCTGGCCACTTTTTTTTTTTTGAGACGGAGTTTCTCTTTTGTTACCCAGGCTGGAGTGCAATGGCGCGATCTCGGCTCACCGCAACCTCTACCTCCTGGGTTCAGGCAATTCTCCTGCCTTAGCCTCCTGAGTAGCTGGGATTACAGGCACGCGCCACCATGCCCAGCTAATTTTTTGTATTTTTAGTAGAGACGGGGTTTCACTATTTTGACCAGGATGGTCTCGATCTCTTGACCTCGTGATCCACCCGCCTCGGCCTCCCAAAGTGCTGGGATTACAGGTTTAAGCCACCGCACCCGGCTAACTTGGCCTTTATTGTTATTCCTCGGCCTGGAATTCTCCAAAGCCTCCGATAGTATTAACCCTCTGAACTGTCTGATCATTACTCTTACCCAGTCATCGAGACAATATGTCAGGAGGATGGTCTATATTAGTACATATTTTTAATTTTTCTTTTATTTCTGTCTCAAGATTTTTTTCAGGAACTTTGCCATTAATGTTTATTTTTTTAATATATGCTCCACGTTTGAGACACTACTGCTGATTGAGCTTCACTTTACTAAAAATTTCTTCACCGAAAGCTCCTCTATGAAAGTGCCCGGTGGGAGTTTAGCACTATTCCTGACTTATGAGCACTGCCAACTTGGTAGTGCCAAGAGATTTCAAAATTGTCACCCTAGAATCCCAAAGTCAGGACGTCTCTCCTACTTGCAGAAGAGATGAGCTGAACTGGACCTGATCTAGCCTTGAACAGAGATATGCGTGTGGGTCTAGAGAGTTTTCCCTGGGGCCATGCACCAGCACCACCTCCCTTACCGCCTCTCACTTTGCATGGGGATCCTCAGATTGTAACAATGAATTCAGCACTGGGTCTTGGACAGTTCCACCCTGAAATGCCCAGCTATAAATCCAGCTATTGGCCTGTGAATGTGACATAAAATACGGTATTTATGGCTGGGCACAGTGACTCATGCCTGTGATCCCAGCACTTTGAGAGGCTGAGGCGGGCGGATCATTTGAGGTCAGGAGTTTGAGACCAGCCTGGCCAACATGGTGGAACCCCATCTCTACTAAAAATACAAAAATTAATGAGGTGTGGTGGCATGCGCCTGTGGTCCCAGCTACTTGGGAGGTTGAGGCAGGAGAATCGTTTGAGCTGGGAAAGGAGAGGTTGCAGTGAGTCAAGATCGTGCCAATGCACTCTAGCCTGGGTAACAGAGCGAGACTCTGTCTCAAAAAAATAAATACAGCATTTATGATTTACATATGTTCCTACGTAGAAGATTCAATAGGTATATGTTTTCTTAAATTACTTGCATGCACTATAATTACATTTGTAGCAAATTCAGACATTTTATCTTCTACTGGAGTGCTCAGCACCAGTTCTTGTGGGTAAATGAGGGTAAAAACTGAATCCTGAATCCTTTTTCAAAAGCGAGGACAGAAACCATTTAACTGAGGTCCAAGGGAAGAGAGCCTGAAGAACAGGAACGATCAAGCTGAATAACAGACTTCAGATCAGTGGATCTTGCCAAGGAGCTGAGATGTTTCCCTTCCATTCATTGATGTTGGTTGGAGAAGAGTGTGTATGGATGACTGCAGCTGATTCTTTCTGAATTTCCCCAAAGGTAACAACATAACTCAAATCACAGCATTGCAACGTTAAATTTTTCTATGGCAAAATCAGTGTCTTGTTGGGAACGATGTAAAACCCTGTTGCATATGATAAAATATGTGAATAGATAAAACTGAGGAACATGCACGTCCAAATAGTTATGGAATTTCTAGGGCAAAGGAGGCAACCACTCTACTCTTACTTTCTAGAGTAAAGCAATCTTCTTGATCAGAGTCATTTTCAAAGACTTTATGTGGGAGGAAGCACATGCCAAATATTACTTTAATGGTCTCTAAACCAAAAATGAGTCAGCTTGCAGCATGGGTCAAGCACACAAACAAAGCACAAGGCATCTGGCACGGGTTAGTTTCAGGCACACCTGCGCACTAGTCACTCTAAAAGACCTGTCTCATGACTCTCAGTATTGCATCCCATAAAGACATTGACTTCCCCGTCCTGCAATGATCAGCAAATTTATATGAAAATTATTAGGGGGGTTATCATCCAATTCCCTTGGATATATGCACAGAAGTAAAGTTGCAAGACTCCATGGCAATTCTACGTTTAATTTTTGAAGGAATCACCATCCAGTTGGATAATGATGTATATCATGTTTACGTTAGGCACTCCAGTAGGCAATATGAAGCCATGGTTATTATCATTTTTATTCAATACTGAGTCCCAAAGTCCTTACATATTAACTGGCATAATGTATGAATCCCCAAATATTGGAAAGGGGGAAGTGATTAAATAAATGATGTAATATTCTGGAGGGAACTTATAGCCCAGAGACCATTCTTGGAGCATTTGGCTTCCTCGTCCAGCAGGCAGCGTAGAACTGTGAGACATGGGTGTCAGTGACAGTGAACACGAAGGGGCTGAATGTTGGGAATCCTACGGACACCAGGAAGGAGAAGCTCCTCAGCCAGGGGCTTGGGTTCTGAATCTGGGTTACCCCAAATGATAAAACAGAAGCGAGAACGTGAAAGGAGACAAACATGCTCATCAGGACGAGGATGGTATGTGTGGCTCTAGTTTCAGGAGAAGTTCTTGGGGAGAGGCTGTGGCTGCGAATGTGTTGGACTCTCTGCTTGTACCTGTGCAGGACGAGGACCATGGAGCCTCTGGTGCAGACCGTGAGGGCCAAACACACACCATCCACCAAGCTGTACATGACTGCAGCCGCTGAGAATAACAATCTCCCTGAGATGGGCGATGAACAGTGGTCTGTACATTTTTTCCATACTTAACGCTGTTCACTGGGCCAGTTACATGTGTGGCAATATGGACATTTGCCACAAGAGGAAAGATCAAGCAGAGGAAGCAGCAGGAGACACTGCACTTTGGGGACCTCATTCGAAGTTCCATCCTCCTGGAGATACTGGGTCGAAGCTTAATGACCTGGAAGCCACTGAGGAGGCAGGTGGTGCTGAGGGAAACCCCTCTGGCCACTCTGTGTAGACAGAAGACAAGTTTACATCCAGCATCATCCAGAAAGGATTTCAGTCCAAAAGCTGCCATTGTCTGAGGGATCCCTTTAGAGAAAAGAACCAGGTTATTGGCTAGGACCAGCTGGCTGAGGGTCAGGTCTCTGAGTCTCACTGTCTGTGTAGTGATAAAAATACCGCATATTCTCACTCATAGGCGGGTGAGGAAAAATGAGAACACATGGACGCGGGGAGGGGAGCACTACACACTGGGGTCTGTTGGGGGGAGTAGGGGAGAGACAGCAGGCAGGGGGAGTTAGGGAGGGATAGCATGGGGAGAAATGCCGGATGTGGGTGAAGGGGAGGAAGGCAGCAAATCACACTGCCACGTGTGTACCTATGCAACTATCTTGCATGTTCTGCACATGTACCCCAAAACCTAAAATGCAACTTAAAAAATAAATAAATAAAGCTAAAGAAGTAAAAGAGCGAAGAATTCCCAAGGATTCCAGCCGCGTCTGAATGAGAAAGGCAACGCCCCAATTTTAGTTAACAGATACCAATCCATCCATTTAGAGAGGTTGTCAGAGTGTGAGTTCATTTGAATCTGAGGACTCTACAGACTGAAAAAGAAATTAAATTTTTTTTTTTTGCTTCCAGAAAATGCCTTTTCTCACAAAACGCATTATTAGGAGTAAATACTAATATAAGAACAAGTCTTTTACAAGTTTGAAGTTATTTCTTATGGAATTGTTATTTGTAACACCACGACTGTAACCCACCCTCCTTGGATCAAAGAGGAACTGAATAAATCCCAATGCATCCCCTCAATAGGGTACTGGGTAGCTGTGAACTTCACGGGGAAGTTCTCTTGATGGGTGACCCTCCAGGACACATAGCTACGTGGGGAGTTAGAAAAGAAAAAGACACACTCAGGACATTATTAGTAATTAGCTTTCTTTCTTTCTTTCTTTTTTTTTTTTTTTTGAGACCGAGTTTGGCTCTTGTTACCCAGGCTGGAGTGCAATGGCGCGATCTCGGCTCACCGCAACCTCCGCCTCCTGGGTTCAGGCAATTCTCCTGCCTCAGCCTCCCAAGTAGCTGGGACTACAGGCACGCGCCACCATGCCCAGCTAATTTTTGTATTTTTAGTAGAGATGGGGTTTCACCTTGTTGACCAGGATGGTCTTGATCTCTTGACCTCGTGATCCACCCACCTCAGCCTCCCAAAGTGCTGGGATTACAGGCGTGAGCCACCGCGCCCGGCCCCCAACTTCTGTTTTGCCTCTACAGAAAACACAGGGATCTTGGATAATGAGGTTAGATTATTGTAAGCTCGCCCAGGTGACGATCCAATTGCAGATGCTGTAACAGACGTGGTTTTGTAGTTTCGGAAAATTAACACGTCCCCTCATACCCAGTATTCAGCCACTGATCTGTTAGACATTTTTTTTCTCCATCACTGTTAATAAGAATCACCAGGAATAATTTCAGTTCATTTGGCAAGGGCATCAGTACACCCTCACTGTCCTGCCTCAAGGTCTGGGAAGGCACCTGGGGGTTGTGATCAGGGTCTCAGTGGCCTTCGGCTACTGCTCTTCCTCCTCATCCTCCTCCTCTGACACTGGCATCAGGGCGAACACAGGACATTGGGTGATTAGGAAATGGGGGGAACCCATGGACTGACTGAAGGTAGGGTCAGGGCACCAGCTAAAGAGAATCCATATGGGAAAAGTCAGCTCAGAACTTTGGGAGGCCGAGGCGGGTGGATCACAAGGTCAAGAGATCGAGACCATCCTGGTCAAAAAGGTGAAACCCCGTCTCTACTAAAACTACAAAAAATTAGCTGGGCACGGTGGCTCGTGCCTGTAATCCCAGCTACTCAGGAGGCTGAGGCAGGAGAATTGCCTGAACCCAGGAGGCGGAGGTTGCGGTGAGCTGAGATCGCACCATTACACTCCAGCCTGGGTAACAAGAGCAAAACTCCGTCTCAAAAAAAAAAAAAAAAAAAAACAGTTCCTACATTTCCCAGTGAGAACACCTGGAAAGAAGAGAATAAATGTGAGCACACATGGACTACCTTACACGTTTTCTTCTTTTTTTTCAACTTTCAATGTATTTAAAACATTTATGCCAGTGTGTTTTCAGGTTTCCTTCTTTCCTCTTGAGTTCTGCCTGCAGAGCAGGTGGTTGTAACGATCCCAAGGCTCACTCTGTCCTTCTTCACCCAGCCCAGAGGGAGGCTGATTTCCAAAGTCCTGCGGGGGCTACGGAGCCAGAGAACAAGGACACAGGCCTGCAGAGGAGGTGATTCTTCCTGGAGAGCGCAGACGCCCAGCCACCCCACAGCCCCCTCACTGCCCCTCACACTCCCAGGTCCTTTTCCAGGCCCAACCCAACTGCTGGTGTACAGAAAGAAAACCTCTGTGACAGGAAGAGAGGGACACCTGAGGGTGGAGACAGAAACCCCACAATTTCAGTAGCAGTGACAGCAGGGGAAAAGGCTGAGAAGGGCTTGGGCTCTTTTATATAATATATAAATTAATTAATATGAAAATGAATTCAATTTACTGTTTTCCACCTTCACAATGTCTGTCTAATGCATTTCAACACCGGTCTGTGTTTTCCTGGTGTATCTTGGTTGTCCATTCCTGTTGGGTGGCTCTCCTCCCACACACCTGGCCTCTCACAAAGGGTTCTCCCGAGGCTGTCCCTGCATCAGCCTGATGAAGGGGGATTGTTGCCGCTGCTCCTGCCCCACTCTCCCAAACTTAGCGTCAGCTCAGGATTGTGCCCGGCAGGGATGGGACCGTCGCCAGCCTCACACTACCCTGTGGGGCAGACGCCTGTGTCTGACAACCGTGGATTCAATCTGTTTTTCACACATGGGGGAGGAGCTCAGAGCTGACCACGGACTCCAGTGGGTGAGCAGAGACCCCCCAGTGCCTGTGCACACACACAGGGGAGGGGGGCCACAGCTTCTAGCCTCACCTAGAACCCTGACCCCTCCATGCCTGGGAGGACCTGAGATTCCTCTTCTGTCCCACACGGAGGTGGGACCCCCCTCCTCCCTAATGACCCCTGGGTGGTCCCACACACCTGTGGCCACTCAGCTGTGAACTCTGTTCATTGAAGTGGATGCTTCTCAACTGGAGGAACTTTTCTTCCTCTTTCTCTGCCTGTGGCTGTGAAGATCTGCAGATTTCAGACGCATCACAAGGAGCATTTCATGGTGTCTGGAGCCGATGTGGGCTCTGGAGTGGGTGCATCAATCATCCTCCTTGACTGTGGAGCCAACACCAGGGTCCTCTCACATCCCAACCCTCCTGTCTTAACTGGTCTGGAAATTACCCACGGCCGAGCCCCTCCCATGTCCTGGGCACCACTGACCCCCCACAGCCGCTGTGATGAGTGGGGCTCAAGACAACAGGCTCAGAGGTGAGATTAATCTCCAAGGTCACATAAACCATGGATGATAATCAGGAATTAAATAAAAATCAGCTCCCCTCCCCCAGAATCAGATTACAGACCTAACGAATTGTTCTGAGATCCCTGAACATGGACGGCGGGGCAGAGGGACGGCCAAGGACACGGGGCACTTGTCCTTGTCCAAGGACATCGACCCAGAGGCTCTTCCCAGGTGGGGGTGGGTGATACTGCAGCAAAGCAAAAAGGGGAAGCATCAGAGAGGGGCCCCTGTGCAGGGAGGAAACACACACCCCAGGGGCGGACAAAATATGCCTTGTTCTCTTTAGTCCCTGCATTTCCCCTTTTGAGACAAGGTCTCACTCTGTCACCCAGGCTGGAATCCTGAGAAGTGATCATAGCTCCCTGCAGCCTCCGCCTCCCAGGCCCACGAGATCCTCTGACCTCAGCCTCCTGAGTAGCTGAGACTACAGGTGTGAGCCTCCGTGCCTGGCTACGTTTTTGCTTCTTTGGACAGACAAGGTCTCGTTACATGGCCCAGGGTAACATGAAGCTCCTGGCCTCAAGCCATCCTCCTCCCTCAGCCTCCTGAAGTGCTGGGATTCCAGGTGGGAGGCACCACGGTAGGGCCTGCATTTCTCCTCTGTGATAATGGCACACACAGCTCAGCCTGGACTGCACAGCCAGGTGTCAGGTGCGTCTCTGCTGACCTGAGCCTGCCTGCAGCACGGACCTGCGTCCTCCCTGAAGCATCTCCAGGGCTGGAGAGACGATGGCCTTGGTGAGGACCCCACACCGCTGTGCTGAGGGACGGGCTGAAGAAGGGAGGGAGACCCCATGGGGAGGCTCTGAGAGGGAGGAGAAGCCCATGGTCACCCCCCAGAAAGGGGTTAACTCAGGAAGGCATCGGGGCTATTGGCTGCTACATCCCAGCTCTCAGTGAGATGAAGACAAACCAGACAGACAGTGGTTGGGGGTCAGGAAAGACCCCATTACAGTCTGAAATGTCTGCAGAGGGGGTGAACCCACCCCCACCTCAGCCCTAAAGAAATGAGAGCCAGGCTCCTTGGGAGGTCAGTTTTCCTTCCTGTGTGGCTGCAGATGACACAACCCCATGACAAGAATGACCAAGCCACCAAGTGTCCACACCCTGTGTCTCTGTCCTGCCAGCACCGAGGGCTCATCCATCCGCAGAGCAGGGCGGTGAGAGGAGACGCCATGACCCCCAATCTCATGGCCCTGATCTGTCTCGGTGAGATTTGAAGAGGGAGGGGAAGATTCTAACCTAGGAGGGACCTCACCCCACAGCCAAACTCTGGTCCATGAGGAGACCCCAGGGCTCACAAAGACCCCAGGGAGGGAAGGACCTGCTCAGGCTTCAGGGGCAAATCTCTCACAGGGAACTCTCTTCCAGGGTTGAGTCTGGGCTCCAGGACCCACGTGCAGGCAGGTGAGTCTGTCCCCAGCTGGCCAAGGTCCTCCTCCTCACTGGGGACAAGGTCCACCCCCGTGCAGCTGGGGAGGGGAATAGCAGTTCTGGGCTGACTAATGGGCGTCTAGAGGGTCCTGTGGCTGAGAGCGGGAATCTGTTAGGTGGGAAATGACTTAGAATCTGACCGCTGATTTCCTGCCAGAGACCTTCCACAAGCCCACCCTCTGGGCTGAGCCAGGCTCTATGATCACCCAGGAGAGTCCCGTGACCCTCAGATGTCAGGGGAGCCTGGAAACCCAGGAGTACCATCTATATCGAGAAAAAAAAAACAGCATACTGGATTACATGGATCCCACAGGAGCTTGTGAAGAAGGGCCAGTTCCCCATCCAGTCCATTGCTGGGGAACACACAGGGCGGTATCGCTGTCAGTATCACAGACGCACTCGCTGGTCAGAGCCCAGTGACCCCCTGGAGCTGGTGATGACAGGTGAGAGACACGCAGCGGTCCCAGCCCCAGGCTCTGCCCTCAGGAAGGGGCTCTGCACTTAGGGGCATCTCCCTTTCACAGCCCAGCCCTGGTGATGATGTGGGAGGTGTGAGCCCCACTTAACATGGTGCCTCCTTCTCTTCTAGGATATTACAGCAAACCCACCCTCTCAGCCCTGCCCAGCCCTGTGGTGACCCCAGGAGGAAGCGTGACCCTCCAGTGTGGCTCACAGGTGGCATTTCATGGCTTCATTCTGTGTAAGGAAGGAGAAGATGAACACCCACCGTGCCGGAGCTCCCAGCCCCGTACCCGTGGGTCGTCCTGGGCCGTCTTCTCCGTGGGCCCCGTGAGCCCCAGTCGCAGGTGGATGTACAGGTGCTATGGTTATGACTCTCACTCTCCCTATGTGTGGTCTTCACCCAGTGATCTCCTGGAGCTCCGGGTCCCAGGTGAGAAATTCATAGCATTGTCTGGAGATCCCTGAGTCTTCAGGCAGGTGGGGAGGAGCCGCGTCTCAGGGCAGCTCCAGGTGGGACGATGTTGGGGTGAGAGGGCTCAGGACTCCTGGGCCAGAGACACGGGAAGATCAGCAGTGGTGAGGCCGGGGGAGAGGGAGGATTTGTGGGGAGCCTGAGGGTCGGCTCCTGGAGACCATGCCCACCTTTCCCAGGTGCTTCTGAGAAGCCATCACTCTCAGTGCAGCCGGGTCCTGTCGTGGCCCCTGGGGAGAGTCTGACCCTCCAGTGTGGCTCTGATGTCGGCTATGACAGGTTTGCTCTGTACAAGGACTGGGGACCTGACCTCCTCCAGCGCCCTGGCCGGCAGACCCAGGCTGGGCTCTCCCAGGCCAACTTCACCCTGAGCCCTGTGAGCCGCTCCCACGGGGGCCCGTACAGATGCTTGGGTGCCCACAATGTCTCCTCCGAGTGGTCGGCCCCCAGTGACCCCCTGGATGTCCTGATCTCAGGTGAGGAGCCCAGCGGGTTCAGTCAGAGACCCAGGCTCTGCACAGGCCCTGCTGGGGGAGCCCAGGTGGTGATGGCTGGGATGAGGGGTGGGGGTCCCAAGGGAGGGAGATACAGACAAAGCCAAGGGGTGGGAAGGGAGGGGGAGACTCAGAGAAAACAGACAGAGACTGAGGGTCCCAGAGAGAAACCTGGGAGGTCTCAGCTCAGAACAAGTGGGGCAGCCCCTCACCGATCCTTGTTCTTTCCAGGACAGATCCCTGACAGACCCTCCCTCTCAGTGCAGCCGGGCCCCGTGGTGGCCTCAGGAGAGAACATGACCCTGCTGTGTCAGTCACAGAGCCCGATGGACACTTTCCTTCTGACCAAGGAGGGAGCAGCTGATGCCCCCGTGCATCTACGATCAAAGTACCAATCTAGTAAGGACCAGGCTGAATTCCCCATGAGTCCTGTGACCTCAGGCCACGCAGGGACCTACAGGTGCTACAGCTCACGCAGCTCCGACCCCTACCTGTTGTCTCACCCCAGTGACTCCCTGGAGCTCGTGGTCTCAGGTGAGGGCCCTGACCCTGTCCTCTCTGAGCTCAAAGGCTCAGCTCAGGCCCTGTGCCCAGGAGAGCTCTGGGCTGGGATAGATGGAGGGGGGTCTGAAGGAGGCTCAGCCAGAGGGGTCTCAGCCCTGAGAGGGAAGGAGGACAATGGGGTCCTCCCAGGCACACCCACCCTCAGCGGCATCATCAGCATCACGAAGAGGAGAGGTGGGTGGAAGGAGGGTCCTGGAGCGTGGCATCCCCAGGACAGTCTCGAGGCTCCCAGAGGATCCGGTTCCTCTCAAGGACCTAGCACAGGCTTCCCTCCAGGTTGTTGGGCAGAGACAGAGCAAGGGCCACAGGCTCCCAGGGGCTCTGAGGCTGGGCTGGTGAGGGGTGGGGTTGAGGCAGAAGGAGATCTTAGGGCCCAGCCTGGGGGAGGAGCAGCCAGGCTGAAGTGGGGAGTAGGACAGCCCCAGCCCTCAGCTCCCCATCCCAACCCAGCAGGCCCTGAGGACCAGCTTGTCCCTCCCACAGAGTCGGATCCCCAGAGTGGTGAGTGAGGGGCTCTGGGCGGGAGGTGGTTGGGGAGGTGGGCAGGGTCCAGGGGAGGCAGGGGTGGGTTCTGTCATTGCATTAAGGCTGCTCTGGAGATGGTGACGGGGACAGGCCCCTCCTCTGCCTGGGCCTCAGTTTCTCCAAGTGTAATGAAGAGAGGCCTACATGGGTGGGAAATTTCCTTTCAGCTCTGACTTCCAGCTTTGACCTCCTCTGAGAGGAGACCCCCCCAGGGAAGCCTCCAGACCCGATTCCTCAGGGGCCTGTCCTGTCCCCCCTGCAGCAGTGACGGTGACCTGGGGCAGGGGAGGAGAGCAGGGCCGTGGTTTGGGGCATTCAGGCTCTTTCCCTGCAGCTCTGGTGCTTGGCTCAGTGCAGGGAAGGGCTGCAGGTCAGACTCCTGGGTCCCCTTCCCAGCTCTGCCACTTCCTGGCTGGGGGTCCTGGAGCAGGTTGTTCCCCTGTCTGAGCCTCAGGTTTTCACCTGTAAAGTGGGTGGGGTGGCTGTTTCAATTCCCCAAGGCAATCCTGAGTCTCCCAGAAGATCTTTTTCCCCTCAAGAACTCAAGTGTGTTCTTCCCTCCAGGAGCTGGGCAGAAACAGAGGAGGATCCACAGGCTCCCAGGGGAGGTTTTCTAAGTTACATAAAACCTTACATACAACCTGTTATATAACTTACATTTGAATATGTCTCTTCTCCCTGATTTTGATTCTCAGGAGCAGCTGAGACCCTCAGCCCATCACAAAACAAGTCCCACTCCCAGGATGGTGAGTGAGGAGATGCTCACGGTCATGGGGCTGGCACAGAGGGTCAGGTCCTGTCAAGGGGAGGTGGGTGCCCTGGGTGGACATCCAGAGGTCCTGGGTGATGCTGATCCTCCCTGATCTCTGTGACCTCTTTGCCCACCATCCCCAGCCTCACACCCCCAGGATTACACAGTGGGGAATCTCATCCGCATGGGCGTGGCCGGCTTGGTCCTGGTGGTCCTCGGCGCTCTGCTCTTTGAGGCTCAGCGCAGCCAGAGAAGCCCCCAGGATGCAGCCAGGAGGTGAACAGCAGAGAGGACAGTGCGGCCTTCAGAGTGGTGGAAACCTGAGAACAGATCTAATGATCCCAGCAGGTTCTGGAGACAATTTAGGGCTGATGCTATCTGGACTGTCTGCCAATCATTTCTAGAGGGAAGAGTACAGAGACATTTTCTGGGGTGATCCATGGAGGACCATGAACATATGATACTTCCCTCTCTATGAATGTTGACTTCCCTTCGTTGGGTCCCCTTCTTTTCCCTCTCCCAGACATGAGGCTCCATCCCACGTGGCAGCGTTGGGTCTGCACCTCTGCACACCTGCACGCTCTGGTCCATGGCGTGTAACACAGTCTTCCTTATTCCTCATTCCCACACTCCCTGGTGAGATTTACTGAGCCTCCATCTCTTCAGTTCAGAGTTCCAAATGTGGCCCAGTAAATAAATCAATGGGAGAGCATCAGATTTCAACCAGGAAAAGATGAATCCACCCAGATGCCCCAACACCCTCTCCGGACCCTATGAGCCCTTCCCTCTTTCTCAGATGCTATCTGTGTGACTTCCCCTCAGATCATTGTGTGACCGTCACTGCCATCCTGTTCCACAGCATCGTCATCCCCCGACACCCTCTCAGCCGTCACTCCCATTTCCTCTCCCTCCAGCACCTGGTAACCACGAGTGCGCTTTCTGTCTCTACGGATTTGCATATTCTGGCTGAAAACATTTCAATCCGCCTATGACCTGTGAGCTCCTCACTTCAAGACGTCCCGCCTTTCCAGGCAGAACCAAAGTACACCGTGTGAAAACAATGACAGGCATTGACAGTGTGTTGCTGATCCACGAAAGGAAAATCACGGAAGTCGGAGAGAATCCAGCCGAGACAAGACCTCAGGCCAATGAATCTTGTCGAGGAGTTGAGCTGTTTCTTCCTACCCACTTGTGACAGTCAGATAGAAACATGCAAAAATGACTGGGGCTGATTCTTCTCCGACTTCTCCCAAACACAACAGGAGGCCTTGAGTCCCAGCATTAAAGTGTTAAACATTCCTGGGTCAAAACCATTGTTCTGTTTGAAGGATGTGAAACTGCCTCACAGGATGGAATGTTTGGGGAAGGATCCTGAGAAACATGAGGGATCCAATGTCCTGAACTTTCTAGGACAAAGGGAACAGCCATTCTCTGTTTACCATGTAGAATAAATACATTCCATTAGGGACATTTTCAAAGACTCAACCTATTATGCTTATAGGTAAAGCGTAATATTGTGTACATGTTAATATTTGAGTGAGAATATCTTCCAAGTCTCAGTGTGATTGTGCCAGGCCAAAAATTTGAGCCAGATTTCAGCGATATCAAGCAGGAGACCCTGGCATCTGTCGCTGATTACCCTTGAGGCAAACCTGGCCACCAGCCTTTCCCGTGGATCCCACGTGTGCCTTGTGACCTCTTGGGTACAAATCCTGTGAACACACTGACCTCTGCCTTCTACGTGACTGACTTGTAGAGTATTTTTCCACATCTCCTGGCCTTCTGTTTTTCTGCTGGGAAGTCCAATCCCAATGCGCATGCCACTCTACTGACAGGCTGAGTTGAAAATCACAGGCCACAAACATGGGTTTTAAACTATACGATTTACGCCAGACAACTTGAGTCTAGCATATACACTTTTTAATCTACTCCTGATATTTTTCAATGTATCGTGGTAGGTCAAGATTTGCATTTCACGTTTAAATGTGTGCACCCTAGCACTGAATCAGTCTTCCCTTGTCTCTGTTGAAGGTTCAACTCTGTAATTCGTGAGTTGTTGCTGGACGTCATTCTTGCTTCTTCTTTATTTTATTTTTTTGAGATGGAGTTTCGCTCTTGTTACCCAGGCTGGAGTGCAATGGCACGATCTCGGCTCACCGCAACCTCCGCCTCCTGGGTTCAGGCAATTCTCCTGCCTCAGCCTCCTGAGTAGCTGGGACTACAGGCACGTGCCACTGTGCCCAGCTAATTTTTTGTATTTTTAGTAGAGATGGGGTTTCACCATGTTGACCAGGATGGTCTCGATCTCTTGACCTTGTGATCCACCCGCCTTGGCCTCCCAAAGTGTTGGGATTACAGGCTTGAGCCACCGTGCCCGGCCTCTCCCTTCTTTCCTTCTGACATGTGCAGTAGATATGAGGTCCTCCCTCCTCACAATATTCCCCCAAGTTTGGTGAATTTCCACTTTTGGTGTCTCCATGGTGCATTCTGGAAAATTCTCTCAATTTTGCTTTCCAATTTAATAAATGTCTCTTCAGCTGTATCTTGACCCTGATAGAATAAATATTTTGATTGTATTCTTCAATAGAAATTTTCACCTCTAGGATTTCTTACTCATTTCTCTGATGCCCATTTTTCGCCAGGATAATCCATATTTTTGTCTCAAAAATTTAATTTCCTCTTTTTTCAGATATTTAAACATGTTTAAGTGAAAAGGGGTCTCATGCATTCCTAGAATTCTATTTCTTTGGACATAGCAATTCTTACCAACGAGCGTGTAGACTGATGACCCTAACACTCTTTGTCATTAGCAGGATGGTTCTTGGTTGCCTGTTTTTGTCAGACACTCACCTCCCACACCTCTGAGCTGCCACGGAAGGGTCCTCCCAAGGCTGTTTTAGTAATCCAGGTCTGGAAATGGGGGATTGTTCCAACTACTCATGACACGTAACATTGATGTCCCAAACTTAATGTCTGCTCAGGTTGCTCTCAGGAGGAAAAAAATCCATGTGAAACTCACACTCACATGATTCTGATGCCCAAGTGAAAGAACACTGCAGTGAATGAAGTTGCCTCACACAGGGGAGTTGGCTCAGTGGCGGCCACGGGCCTGGGTCAGTAAGCAGACATGTTCCATCACAGCGTCCAGCCCTGCCCAGAGCCCCGGCCCCTTCCCGCCTGTTGAGGACCCTGGGCCCCTTATCTGTTCTGCACAGAAATGGAAACTTGCTCCCCAGTGACCCGTAATGGGGCCAGACACAAATGTGCTTTCTGTTTCCATTTCCTCTTCATGTGCACCCCTCCTCTCCTGATAAGCTTTTATTTCCCACTTTCTACACATGACTGTGATAACCAAGGTGTTTGTTGATGAAATATCATGAGAAGCATCTTTGCAGGAGCAAAGGGGAGCTCCTGAGTGGAAACATCAGTCACAGGCCTTGAGCATGGACACCAGCAACCCCTCATGTCCCCGCCCCTCATGTCTCTACCTGCTCTGGAAATCACCCATGGCTGAGCCCTGTGCAGCTCCCAGGCTCCAATGACCCAGCTCCCCTGTGATGAATGAGGTTTGTGACAAACTCCAAAAGCAGAAACTGAGGCTCAGAGATGGGAAGTTACTGCCCAAGGTCACATGGGCAGGGGTTGATACATGAATATTTAAACAGAGATGAGATTTCCCTTCAAATCAGAGTGCTAACCCCATGTACTGTTCCAAAACCTTGAACACTGGAGCGCAGATGGGAACAGGGGTGTTTGAAAGAAAACAGGGGCTCCAAGAGGGCAGAATCAGGTCAACGTTGTTTCCAGGGAGATGCGGGTGGAGGCTGTGGAGACCACTAAGGAGACGTTCGTGAAGGGAACTTTTTTGCATAAAGAAAACCCACACTCCAGTTCTGGGAAAAGAGTCGTGATTCTTCCCTATTTCCCTATATTTCCTCTTTTGCTCATTGCAGCAATGAAGCACAAATGAAACTGCACAGACAGATGTGAGGTGAGTCTCTGCTGATCTGAGTCTGCCCTGCAGCCTGAATTTGCATCTTCCCTGAAGCCTCCCCAGGGCTGCTGAGAGGACTGGCCATGGTAGGGACCCCACAAGGATATGTTTATGGATGAGCTGAAGGAGAAAGTGAGACCCCATGGGAAGGTGCTGAGAGGAAGGAAGAGTCCTCCATTGCCTTCACCTGGAAGGGACCGACTCAGGAAGGCACCACATCCATTTGCAGCCACATCTTGACCCTCAATGAGATGAGGACAGCTCAGGCAGACAGTGAAAGGAGATGAGGGGACATCCATGCTTGTCTGAAATATCAGCAGAAAACCTGGTGCCTGTCTCAGCCCAAGCCCTGGGAAAACAAGAGCCAGGTCCATGGCAGGGCCCAGGCCAGTTCACTACCATGGAGATGCTGACGGGAAAATCCTGTAAGCGGGAGAACACTGTTTCCGTGTGGCCATGGCCTGTGTGTCTGTGTACCTCTGTCCTCTGGGCACCATGGTCTTATCCATCTGCACAGCCCTGAGCATGGCTTTGGAAAGGGTCCCTGGAAGGAAATCAGAGACTGGGTCCTATATCACTTACCACCCTCACATCCCAGCTCTCAGCCCAGGATCCTCATGTCACCCACCTCAGTAGTAGGAGATGCCATGACTCTCACCCCCATGGCGATGGTCCACTACACTGAGATCTGACAAGGTGCATGGGAGATTCTAGCCTGAGAGGAGGGAGGATCCCAGGGAGGAGAGCACCTGCTCAGCCTTTGGGGGCAAATCTCTCATCAGGAACTCATTTTCAGGGCTGAGTGTGGGCCTCAGGACCCTCATGCAGGCAGGTGAGTCTGTCCCCAGCTGTCCCAGGTTCCTCCTCCTCACTGGGGACAGGGTCACCCCCACCCTGGACAGCTGGGGCTGGAGAACAGCAGCTCTGGGCTGACTGAGGTGGGTGACAGGAGGATCCTGGGCTGAGAGCTGGGATGTGAGGGTGGTAAGTGATATAGGACCCAGTCTCTGATTTCCTCCCAGGGACCCTTTCCAAAGCCATGCTCAGGGCTGAGCCAGACTCTGGAATAGCCTAGGGGAGCCCCGTGGCCCTCTGGTGTCAGGAGTGCACTCAGCCCCTGAGGCACTGGCATTACCGTCAGAGCATTCGTGGGCACAGTGTCCCCTGTCCACTGCCCACCAGCCCTCCACCCTCCCCGTGCCAAAACTGCCACTGGCGTGTGCACACAAAGGGAGACCAGCAAATCCACCCCCATCTCAAGCAGGAGCTGCCAGCCATGTGAACTCACTCACAGAGGATGTACACAGTCCCCACTCTGGTCAGTGCCCGCCCTCATGCCGACAGTGCCACCTGTACAAAATTGCACAAGGAGACCAGTACATCCACCGACACCCCAGCAGCAGCTGCCACCTGACTGAGAGTGTGCACAGAGAGCACATAGTCCTGTGAGACCAGCACATCCACCTGTGTGAGAGCGTGCACAGAGAGTACATAGTCCTGTGAGACCAGCACATCCACCTGTGTGAGAGCGTGCACAGAGAGCACATAGTCCTGTGAGACCAGCACATCCACCTGTGTGAGAGCGTGCACAGAGAGCACAGAGTCCTGTGAGACCAGCACATCCACCTGCGTGAGAGCGTGCACAGAGAGCACAGAGTCCTGTGAGACCAGCACATCCACCTGCCTGAGAGCGTGCACAGAGAGCACATAGTCCTGTGAGACCAGCACATCCACCTGCCTGAGAGCATGCACAGAGCACAGAGTCCTGTGAGACCAGCACCTCCACCTGCGTGAGAGCGTGCACAGAGAGCACATAGTCCTGTGAGACCAGCACATCCACCTGCCTGAGAGCGTGCACAGAGAGCACAGAGTCCTGTGAGACCAGCACATCCACCTGCGTGAGAGCGTGCACAGAGAGTACATAGTCCTGTGAGACCAGCACACCCCCACCGTGCTAGCACCACCACCACACAAGCACCTGTGGGGCCCCTGCCCACCCCACCCAGCCTTGCTGACACCACTGCATTGAACACCGACTAGTACCCCTGCACCCACCAGCATCCCACTGCAGCCAACACATGTGTGTGTCCCAAAGGAAAAGACATCAGTCCATCAAAAACACACTTGCAGACAAATATTTATTGCAGCCAAATTCATAATGGCAAAAATGTGGAATCAACCTAAGTGCCCATCAACCGACCAGTGAATGTGGTAGATAAACCCAGCAAAGTACTACCCAGGCCTTGAAGAAAGTGAAAGAATGTCTTTTACAGCAACGTGGATGAAGCCGGGGGCTGTGATGCTGAGTGAACTAATGCAGCGATGGAAAACCAAGTACCAGATGTTCTCACTTATAATTGGGAGCTAAGCTATGGGTAATCAAAGAACGTGGTGAAACCCATCTCTACTAAAAATACACACACACACAGAATCAGCTGGGTGTGGTGGCAGCTGTCTATAGTTCCAGCTACTTGGGAGGCTGAGGCAGGAGAATTCCTTGAACCCAGGAGATGGAGGCTGCAGTGAGCCGAGGTTGCGCCATTGCCCTCTGCCACGTGGGCAGCAGAGCCAGACTCCGGCTCAAAGGAAAAAATACAAAAACCCCATAGGAAACATCCTCCTTGATACAGGCATTGGAAAAGTGTTTACAGCTAAGTTCTCAAAGGCAATTAAATGAAAACAGAAACTGATGAGTGGGACCTAATTAACCTGCAGACCCAGTGTAGGTCTAATATTCAGAATCTATAAGCAACTTACACAAATCAACAAGCAAAAAAGCAAACGGCTTCATTAAAAACTGGGCAAAGGACATAAACAGACACTTCTCTATAGAAGACACATATATGGCCAAGAAGCATATGAAAAAATCTTTAACATGACTAATCTT